GCAATTTTAAATGGTAGACTATGTAGAGGGAACTCACGCGCCGTTGATCATACCTAAGCGATCTTTTCCCAGGAAACGTATATACATTTCCACTGAAGCCGTAGTAATAATGAACTATCCCCAGTAGAGGTGTTCAGCACAAGTACCACCAAATCTTCTGACTCTACTACATCGTTAAGATCACTGAAAACATAAGTAGCTTTTAGATTTGGAGAACTTCTTAAAGTTATACTTATCAGTTCATCTGTTATATACTGCAGTTGTTGCACTGGTTAAAATAGACTGGAAACCAATACATTCACAGAAAAAGTTATAATGAGGTAATTATTTTTGCACTGCAGATACTGTAGAAGTGGTGTAGTAATTATGTTGGTAATAACCATATAAACAGTGCACACATAGTTGGTATGCGAATATTGTTATTATTTTCCTCAAAGATAATCTCCTAATATGAATTAATCTAGACTTTCCTTATTCACGGGTTGTCCAATAGGAATGTTTTTTTCTTATGGCCATAACGATGCACAAGGCATCCTTTATTTACTGTATCAGAAGGATCAGGCTTTCAAGTTAATCCAATATACCCATCAGCAGCAATAATAGATGCTCTCTACTGCTGCTCTGGAAGTTAGAGGATGTTGTAAAAATCAAAGAAAAAGTCCACGTATTGTCAATAGTGCTATCAATTGATTCAAACATATAATCGCGTTAATCACAATAATAATCTGTGAGTAATCATGATCAAGCACAATATTTAAATACTAATATTTACTTGTTTTTAGGGGTTGATAAAACAATTACACATGTGGTGTAGGGTTTTTTACTTTTTCATGACAGGATTTCTGAATTATTAGAATGAAGTTCCGAAACGTAGCTAAAGCATGGACAATGCCGCAGTCACGGAAAGCTGAACACCCGCTGTTTAATTTGTGCTACACAGGGAATTAGGGAATGTTATCTCTGCTGCCATCATACTGTGAGCACCTTCTGTTCCAAAAACTGGCTAGAACTTGCTTCAGCAAAATGCCTTTTCTCCGTTTTCTCGACACCTAAAGGAATGATTTCAGGTGTGGCGTTACGCCGGGGGAATGATGGTTCTTACTATTGTCCAGCTCAAACTCCAATGTTTTTCTTAATCTAATCAAGCAGTTTTGTTTGAATTCACAACACGTGGTTTGAAAGTCAGTTTGACGCTTAGGGCTATCCAGCTCATTACAAAGTGATGTCAAAAAGGTCCTGACCAATGGTCTGCATGGGGAAAGTCTGGAATGAGAACTGGGTGATTTATCTTTCGGATTTGAAATAGTAGATCATGTCCGACCAACAATCCAGAACCCAAAAACTTTATTTTATTTATCTTATTGTCGAATGAATTAAAACAGATATTGAGATTGGGATGTCTTTCTTAAGAGACCTGTTTACAAGGAGGATCCAAACTATCGCTGGGAGTGCACTTAGACAACGGGCTGAACTGGAAGATCAACACTGACGCTGTGTACAAGAAGGGGATGAGCAGACTCTATTTTCTGAGGAAGCTGAGATCCTTCGACGTGTGCAGCAAGATGCTGGAGATCTTCTACCAGTCTGTTGTGGCCAGTGGACTCTTCTTTGCTGCGGTCTGCTGGGGGGCAGCATCAGAGCCGGTGACACCAGCAGGATCAATAACCTGATCAGGAAAGCTGGGTCTGTCATCGGCATCAAGCTGGACCCCTTTGAAGCTGTGGTGGAGAGGAGGACACTGCTGGCTGTTGTCCATTATGGATAACCCCCACCCCCCACCCTGGAACACTCAGATAAAACAAACAAAAAAATCGATTTAATTATATAAATAAAATGAATAAATGAGAATCGTATCTGTGTTGTTGATCTGTAATATTACAGTGTTACGTTGATTTGTTTGTCCTTCTCGGACCATGCACTACGCATTTCAGTGGTTTTGTGTTAGAAAAGAAAGCAACCAATCAGATCTTGTTCTGGGTCTCTGGGTAGAATATCCTTCAACCAAGGTATTCTACATCCTTGATAGAATGCCCTGGCCGTTGCACTGCATGAGAGCGTAACTTTGGATTGACAGTTTGATCAACCAATCATATATTGATTTGTAGCCAATGGGCGTATTCTTTCAGAGTATCGGTTTCAGGACCGTTTCGGAGCTAGAGCCTGAAAATCAGTTTTTTCAAGCACCAAAAAAATTTCGGCCTAGAAGCAAGAACCGCATACATCACGCTTACGTCGGAGGCGGGGGCAGGGGCGGGATCAACCTGAGCAATAACAGTTTATGACGAGTACGGCAAATTAAAGTTGTAACAAGCAGTAGCGCTGACCAAAGTGACTATAACGCAACCACACACTTGTGAAAAAAAGGCAACACTAACTAGGCTTTGTGTGATTCTGTTTATTTGAACCTTACTTTGACCATCCGTTGGCTGTTATTGATCATTGTGAAGAGGAGGTAGACGTGTTGTTTTGTATTATAGCAGCTATCGGATGAAATCAATACATGGGCTGCACAGGTTGTCATGTCCGACTATCACAAGTAGAATCATAATGAAGAATACGCCGGTAAAATGTGCCTGTAGGAAACGGCTTATGCCACAATAGGATAGCAACAAGTAGTCAAGATAGTCAAGCTTCGGTTGCTATGCTAACATCACCCATTTTATGCAGAGAAACTTTCATAACAGTGTTGTGATGCCAAACAGCGGGCAGCACTGCAGCGGTCGGTAAATGCCGCTGAAACACATAATAAACAATGAACAATTTTGAGCTTCTTGTAGCGTTTTTTATTTGCAGCTTTTTGTATTTGCAACCTTTTGTCTATGCAGCATTTTTAGTAAACCTTGTGCATGTTGAACTACAGCCGAGTACAGCAGGGTCGCACAACTTCAACGTCACGCCAACTTAAGATCGATATTCAAAAATACAGATTCAAAATTGTACAAGTTGAAGCGTTTGTTTTAACAGTTTGCAAGAGCGCAGGTACTTGCTTTCAATCAGAACAGGGGCAAACAAACTTAGCGGGAGTGTTTACGTGTTCGGCGTAATGACGTACAACGTCCTCGACATCTTCTGTAGTCCTATTCAGTCACTTGTTAACAACCATCATTTTTCAGACACGTAAACTCTTCAAAAATCACAAGTGGGGTCACTGCTTATGTATTTAATGTCGTAGAACAAAACATGATCCATCTCTTAAATTGTTGCCAACCACAGACACCTATTTTCCAAAATCCTATGGAGAAATCCCATTGACTCTGAGACGAGGGAACCGTTAGTGGTAAAATGCTAACTAATTTCCGGGTTTTAGGACTCGTCACTGCACCACTCTATAGCTTTAATCAGATAGTGCATATCATCTGATAAAATGTGACTATGGTACAGTGGCGTCGATAGTTGCATACATCGTCCTCAAAATCGAGCGCTAATGTTAGCAATGTTGATGTGCAGCGGCAGTCGGAGCCGGAGGCTAACGATAGCTCACCTGCCTCACCACCATCATTGCCATCTAGCTCCACAAGTGAAGCTGTATCCGTGGCCGTGGCTGTGCAACCTTCTTCTCCAGCCAGCCAGAAGGAGAGGCTGGATTTGGCTGTGCCCGGCGGTGGTCCAACAGTTCCCCCAAGGGCCCCAACCAATAGGGGACTATGGCGCTATTGAGACCGCCAAGATCAAAAGCTATATTATAGCAACCGGTCTATGTAGGCCTAGGGATGGGAACGATTAATCGAATTATTCAGGTATTCGAATAATTATTCAGGTATTCGAATATGAGTTATTAATTTTTTTATTAATTTTTTATTAATTTTTTATTTAGTTTTATTTAATTCAACATATAATACCATAGTCCGGTAATTATTTACACTCCAAGAAGAGTCCTACACAACAGACATGGCGTCAAAAAGGAGTAATGTGTGGAAATATTTCGACCAGGTTAGTGAGTGCGGTGTAGAGTGCAAACTATGCCAAATTAAACTTATATACATACTATACCTTGCGATACCCGCAACCTCCGTTCCAGCTGAGAGGGTCTTCTCTACAGCTGGCCTGATTGTGAATCCCGCACACGAAAGCTGTAGGCCTATAGCTGTCAAACTGTGATCACCAGTTCAATACATTTGACAAATTCGACTTGGTTTCTATACTTTATTTCCAAAAATTATTGAAAGAATTTTTTTTTTACCCAATTTTTTTTTATATATAGGATATGTACATTTCGGTTAACCGGTTAACCGTTTTTCGGGGGTTCGAATATTCTAATATACATTTGCTTTCAAATTCCCATCCCTACTACCGGCCCATTCCCCAGAGACAAACATCAAGAAAACAGGTTTAAACCTCTTCTTAGTTCGCTGTGCCGTTGTCAGGCTGTTGTTGATCCTATACATGTGGCGCTTCTGAGTGGTTGTGTATGTCCGTGCGTGTGTGAGCGCATCAGCGTGCGCTTATGTTTGGGGCGATGGGATGGATATTTTTAACCCTAACCCTAACCCTTGGTATAAAATGTATAATTTTGTCTTTCAAATTATTAATCAATCAATTATATGTAATAACAATAATTGGCGGGCTTACGAATTTGTCATTGTCGATTTTTTTAAGATGCACTTTTGCATTAGATGTTGTACATAATTGAAATTGTCTCTATGCTCTTGTCTTCAAATGTTTGTTTAAGTTATACCAAAACAAAAATACAAATGGAAGAGAATGACTGTGAGTTATGATCAATCCATGCATTATTGAAAGTTAAAGTATACTCACTCACACACTTGTAAATGTTTCATAGAGTAGGATCTACTCATACATCAAATATATTTCTATGTTTTAGTTCAAGCACATCAAACATGTTTTGACTTTGATCTACAGTCCAGACTACCCACAATATCAAGACGAATGACCTAAAATCCTAGCAATGCACCAAATCCCTAGTTTCAGGTGTAACATTTGACAGCAGATAATGAAGCATGTCTTACTTTTTCTGATGTTACCTTCTCACTCTACTTCAGACAGCCACTATGGACAATAAGGCATTGGAACCTGACTCTTTGAGTATCCCCATGGAAGAAACCATTGTGTGTAATGGAGATGGCCAGCCTCAGCAGCAGCAGGAAGTGTCCATACTGACCCACCTGAAGAAGGTTGAGAACCAGATCACTGAAGCGCAGCGTTTCTCCCACCTACCCAAACGCTCAGCCGTGGACCTGGAGTTCAACAACGTTTCCTACACCATCCGGGAGGGAGCATGCTGGAAGAGGAGAGGTAACACACATCTGTACAGTCTTCACACACACTGCTTGTGCCAGTCAAGTCTATGTAAACCAGTCTGTAGTAGTGATGCTCAAAAATAGGTGGGTGGTAATCTCTAATTGTGTAATAATAATAATAATGGGAGCAGACTTAGAATAAATAGACAAAGGACGCATAGTTATAAAGACCTCGGTGAATTGGAAACGCATCCTGTGTCTCAAATTGTGTACTATTGTTGTTACATTTGTTGTTCAAGTGCATAAGTGCGTCCTAATGCATTGAACTATGAGTACCTGGATGGTGGAATCATAACGGTCATAAAGTTCATTGTAGAACGCTGCACACTTTGCACACACAACGATCTTGAAGTCACGCAACAAGCTCAAGTGCAGTTACTCCAACAAATAAAGCCCCGTTCATGTATACAATTATGTGTTTTTGTTCACTGTTTAAATAAGTACCACTATACTAGTGTCAAATAGACACCGTTGTTAATTTTATAGGATTATTTGAGCTGTCTGTAATTGTTAGAGCCACAATGAAGTCAACGTTATTATTTAGCTTCATAATTTGATAAATGAATTAATGATGGAAAATGATTTATATTGACATGGTGAATATCTTTTGATGAAATTATTGTTAATTTCAAATCGTAAATATGATCTGTTTCCTTGTACCTTCCGGTGTTTATTTAAGTGAGGTAATTGAGGACAGCCGCGGTGCTCTGAGACCTGATGAGACGGGGAGCGGAACAGTTTTTTCGACCGCAAATTGTAAACAGAAATTAGTGTTGCAAATTGGATTACAAAGTATAGTTTATATAAGAAAGTATATCGCCGAAATATTGATTTAGATTTGTTATTTTGAGACTATTTAAGTCAATACTTTTTTGTTAATAAATTACATTTTTTGACTGAAAACCTTCGGCTGCTTATTGCTTTGGATTGCGTGTCGTCAACCCCGCTCTAGTGGCAAAAGGAAATCTTGGATGCCACTACAGTAATAATAATGATAATAATACATTTGATTTTTATAGCGCTTTTCCTAATGCTCAAAGACGCTTGAATGTCCTTGTAATGGTTTGGTTCCACAAACTAGCTAGCTATCACGGCTGCTGTGCCCTCATTGATGTTAGCTAACAGCATTGGAAAATAAATCTGTGTCTAAATTCAGATACAGAACCGGACAGAGGTGACAAAGTGTCAACTTGTTGTTATGTACGTTGCACATTTACGTACCGAATTATTGTGAAGTACTGTACGTAACGGACCTAACTTAGGTTAGTTACAGCGTCAACCATGTGTTTAAAAGTGGAAAATGCTGTGTATCTTTGGGTGTGAGATTGTTCTATGTTCACAGTAAGTGATGTTATGGATCAGACAGGGCAAGTCTCATATATCAGTTTTTTAAAATATATGATAAGGAAGTGGTTGCTCAATGCCTTGCTATGTAACTTCTCCATAGCGACTTGGCTTTGCTGTCCTCTGCAAGTGGAATCCAGAGTGAGATATTCTTGTTACTGGACACATTTCTCTCTCTCATCCTCGCTCTGTTTCTTCTTTTGTCTGACTGATCATGTCTCCAGCAGTGAGTGCTGACCTGGTGCCTACAGTTAATGTTGCAAACCCTTATCTTTATTGATCTTTTTTTGCCCAGATCATTTCCCCACATAGAGACAGATTGGACAGAGCAGGCTGATTGTTTTTGACACACTGCCCTACCCAAAATCAATCAATGGCCATGGATTTCAGGCAGAATCAATGGATACTTAAAAATGCAGGCATAAACAGTAATATATAAACTCGGTAGTATTGCACATGCTACCATTGAGCAATTTTAATCAATACAGATCAAAGTCAAGTACATGCATCTTCTGCTAATTGGATGGTTTAAGTAGTACATATAGTGTATGAACATCAAGTCCTCTGAGCAGATACAGAAAAGATCATTAAATGAATTTTTTTTGATTAATGATCATTCATTTGATGATCACCAACTCTGAGGATAGCACACCCATCTCTATAATGTACAGTCAGTAGGATACAGTTGTTAAAGATAGCTCGTAATGCTTTTTAATATGTGAGGGAAAATGTACCAGTTTATTATGTGGATATTCAATCAGTGCTGATGGTGAATGTGATAGATTTAAAGAGACCCTATCATGCTTTTTTGGGCTTTCCCTTTCCTGTCGTGTGTTATTGGTTTTTGTGCATGTTAATGGTCGACAAAGGCTAAAATCTCCTCCAGAGGGATCACCTTGATTGGACTCCTCTGTTTACTTCTTTAATATAGTGACATCACTATGTAACACTCACGCCTCTTGGCTAGCGCTCCAACATATTACATACATTATGAGAAAAATAAAGCAAAATAAAAGCCTGGAAACATGTCACAATGGAGGGACCAAATATAAATATAAACCTGAAAATCAGCATAATATGGTAGTGTAATGCTTTAAGAAAATAGTGTGACAACCCAGTGGTTAAACATTCACTCTGAACATTAACCTTTGACTCTACAAATATGGATAATATAGTTTAAAAGGGGGGAAAAAAGGATCAGCAATGTAAATACTTACCGTAAATAAATAACACAAAGATTTCCCCTTTTGATTGATGGGCTGCTTAGTTTAAGTCTTAGATTTGATGTGATGTGTTTGAACTTGTGTTTAAACTTAGGGTGTCTTTCTTTGGCCGAGTGTTTGCGCAGCCACAGTACAGAACGTGTCACAGCAGAATTAAGCAGTCAATCAGTTCCTCTCAGTTGTACTATAGTACTCTGACTTTCATTATTATTATATCCATAGCGAGACGGATAATATGTTTTACAATTATACTATAGGCATTTCCTGTACCTCTTAGGTATGTTACAATATATAATTACACATTAATAAAAGAAAACATCTATTGGAATTTGTCCCAAATTATATAATTTTCTGGTTTAACTAGGCATTGAAACAAGAGTTCGTAAGAATTTGCCTTGGTATACATTTACTCAACTGTTCTTCTTGTGTAAAATCTAAAACATATTCTGAGATGCAGTAAATACGTGTCTGAATCTTGGCTAAAACAGTCGTCACCATCTTCAATTGTGGACATTGGTTGCACACAAATAGCTTGCTTTGGCAGCAACCTATAGAATTGTTTTAAATCAACACAAACTATTTATGTCCAATCAACGCAAGTACTTTGTGTTGATTCAAAGTTATTGATATGTGTTTCAACAAAGTAAATTAAACACTTTGATCGTTTTACTCCAACCCAATTTGATCACTTTATTCAAACACAATTCAATCCCTTTTACTCCATACTATTTGATCACATAACTCAATATTTGTTATTTGAATATTCCCATGCCAATTACATGTTTTCAGAATTGTAATTTTTTAAATATATATATATGTAATACATTATATTTATAAATATAATTTAATGTAAATATGAAACAGATTTTAAATAAAACTACAATAAACTATTAAAATGTCAGCAATAAATTGTGTTCTTGTTGTCTAATACTTTTCAATTAACTTTTTCTTGATCACTCTAAACATAACCCTCTTTTTTTCTATTGAAAATGATTAGAGTTTTGTTTCAAATCCTTTATTCCAGAACCTGGAGATTAATTCAGCAATTACAACTGCCATCGATAGAATCACTTAAAGGTGGGGTATGTAATTTATTTCAGAAACACTTTTTGTTATATTCCATGGAATGCTCTTAACATCCCGATAGCAATGAATATATTAAGTGCTTTGACAATAAATACATTAAAACATTTCATCTGTGGAAGCCGTAGTACTGTAAAAAGCACGACCAATCATCTGAGCCGGCCCGGCTAAAATAACTGGATGGCCTACCTGCCTGTCAGCCTTCCATCTGTGCACAAACTTATCTCGTGCCCTCATTGGTCATGTGCGCGTTCGTGTGTGTTGGAGGAGGGGCTCTGAAAGGAAGTGGCAGATTTTTTCCGGTTGTGTATTTTCAAATTCTAGCGTACTCGAGCTGGTTTCTCCAAAATTACATAACCCACCTTTAAGTCTTTCTAAAACATCCAATCTCCAATTTGATAAGTACAAATATTAAAAAGGACCTTACATATTGTTTAGCAATTTTGTTACAACAATAACAAGGTAAACAAAAATACAAAAATATATACTGTATAAAGCATCCCCTGCTTTTTATAAGGCATCAATAACTGGAATGGTGGTAGGAGAACCAGCCACCTCAGGATCCTCGTTGAGGTGCAGAGTCCTTTAATGAGGCACTCCCTGCCAGCATCGATGTCTTCCTTAAGGATTCAAACAAAGAATATAGGGACATTTTAACTCAAATTGAACCTATGGAGTAGTCACATTTTGGGATAATTTACCATTGTAATTGATTTTAGACTGACCTAATGCCGAAAAGGAAATTGTATATATACATATACATATATACACACATATACACACAGTTCTTACTGTCATCATGGCAGCCATGTCTTTTAACTTCTTGCCCTGCTGCCCCGATTGTTTCGAGAACACCCTCAGCAGACATGCGGAGTGTAAGTCAAGCTGTGACAGGAACCTTGTAGAGGCATAGTTGTAATCCGCTTGAACTCTGCGTTAACCTGAAACAAAAGGAAACATTTTTTTAACAACACGGCCCACTGACAAACACACATTTGTTTCATTAAACTTACACCTGCCAATCACATAACTGTATGCACTATGCACAGGGGTGGATCTACCGGGGTGGCATGGGGTGGCAACTGCCACCCTAAACAATAGCCTTGCCACCCCAGCTGCCACCCCAGTTGGCATCTTTGTTTTGAAAGAAAAGTTGTGGCTCATCGGACATTTATGAGAGAAAGTCTCTAATGTCCGAGTGCAAGTGAATGCAGCACAAAATGCACGTCATGTAACCCCTCCCCCGGTCCTGGCGCGAGAGTGGAAATATGATTGGTGGCGAATTCACTTGAACGGGGGGACGGCGCAAAACGAGAAGCCTTTCGGACCCAAGCACTGAAGGAAT